TTTAAGTGCCATTTTATGACTTTTAACGTATTCTGAAACATAAACACTTGAGTAGCAAAGTATGCCCAATAGAGGTATGATTGGATCAACTTTAATGAAATGATGTGGACTGAGACTAATTTGGATTCTGAACATTTGCATGAAAATAGGTCCAATGGAAATGGCTTGAAATCAGTTTGTTCCCAAGTGAAAGTTAAATATCTGCCTGCTAATCCAATTTATGTCCTTCATTCCCTCTGCGTGGCGTAATTCAATCTCAAATCTACCTGCCCAACCTGTGTCTACAGATACAAAGAGGGTGCATCTGTGAGTTCTTCCAAAGGAGCTCTTATCCAGAAGACGTCTGGCACATTCGAGCTTCAGGGGTGTGCTAGAGGAAGTTTGACTACATTCAGTTGATGGGGATACTGCAAGAGAGGCTCAGAGAACTGAAATGGAGAAATCCTCTCAGAGTCACGCCTGCTTCCCCATTACCTGATTGGAGTCGTGGTGTGGCACTGCAGGTTAAGTGCTCAACCACGAGGTTGGTTTGAACTGCAAGGTCAGTAGTTCAAACTCACCAGCCGCTCCTTGGAAACCCTATACAGGATCGCTTAAACAGTAGCAACAAGCATCCAATCATTAAAGCACATCAGTCAATCTGCCCCAAGTCCCATACTCTGTTAAACCAAGACCCAAATTCACTGGTATCAAGTCGGTTCCGACTCAGAGCGACCCTGTATGGGTTTCCAATGCTTTACATCTTTACTGGAGCAGGACGCCTCATCTGTCTCCTATGTAGAGGCTGGTGGGTTTGAACTGCCAGCCTTGAGGCTAGCAGTCCAAACCTTATCTTACAGTGTCATCAGAACTCCTTATACTCTGATAGAATTCTAGAATTTTTCCAAATTGTGTTTATTTTCCCAATATACTTGGCAAAACATACATTGAATATACCATGAACTGACAGAAGAAAGAATAAACCAGTCCTAGAAAAAATACAACTAGAATGCTGCTTAGGAGCAAGGATGGAAAGACTTTGATTCACTTACTTTGGACACATCACTAGGAAAGAGCAACCTCTACAAATGAACATCATAGTTGGTCAAATGGAGGGTCAGCAAAGGCCAAGGAGGCCCTCGGGGAGATGGATGGCCATGGGACACCGACAATGGACTCAAGATGGCACAGGACTTGCTGTTTATACACAGGTCACAATGACTCTAGCAGACTCAACTAGAAATTGAACTGCTAACCTCAAGGTCAGCAGTTCAAACCTACCAGCTACATCTCAGAAACCCTATACAGTGTCATTATGAATCCGAACTTATCATGGTACATGCATACAACAAGAACATACATATTCATGGAGTCCTAATGTGGTGCTGTAGGATAAACACTGGATTGTTAACCTCAGGGTCGATGGTTCAAACCACAAGCCTCTCCTCAGAAACCCTCTGTAGGATCACTATGTGTTAGCAATGACTTACCACAGCACTTAACAACTAGGCTTAATACCTGTGTGTGTGTGTGTTTAATTTAACAAGGCTAGGAAGTAAATTGTAAATGCTCCCTCTTCCTTACCAGACTTCCTGCCTTTCCCTTTCTCAGAACTCACGCTGTGTCTCTTTACAGATGACTGTCTGTACATTTTGCATCTATGACACGTCTGTGCCTCCGTTATCACTGGCACGCCTGTGGTTTGTTTTGTTACAAAGAAGGCATTCTGTGCACATTGCTATGCCTTGCAATCATGTCTTCTGCCATGGAATTTGATGCTCGTCTTTTACCCCACGTTCAAAATGCTCCAAAATATAAACTATAGAAGAGTAGAATTGGTACTGTTATTCATAGCCTCTCCAGCTGATGTCTCTGAGACTGGGATAGAAGGTTGTTGTTGTCACTGTTAGCTGTCATCAAGTTGGCCTCCAACTCACAGCGGCCCCAGGAGGGAAACACTGGGATTGGCTGATCTTTGGGAATAGACCAACAGGCATTTCTTCTTAGTCTGTCTTAGTCTGAGAATTCTGCTAAAACCTGCTGAAACGCATAGTAACATGCAAGCCTCCCCCGACAGACAGGTGGTGGCTGGAATTGAGGTGCATTGGTCAGGAATGGAGCCAGGTCTCTCACATGGAAGGCCAGATTCCACCAGTGAGTTACCACTACCCTGGGATGGAGAGTAGGAGGGAAGTCTTAGAAAAGGTTGGCAAAACTTTCTTCCTTCAGTGGGGTCTTAGCTTTCTAGTGCTGCTATAACAGAAAAACCAGAAGGAGTGACTTTAACACAAACAGAAGTTTATTTTCTCGAATATCAGGAGTCTAGCAGTCAGAAATCATGGTGCCTTCTGCAGAGGAAGGCTTTGTCTTTCAGTCAGCTTTGGGGAACTTTCCCTGTTCCCAGGTTCCCTGGTGATTGTCATGTGACTTAGCACTTCTGTTCTCCCATCTGTGCTTCTCTTACTTGCTTGAGTAATCTCTTCTATGTCTGAAAAGATATTGATTCAAGACACTGGACAGCAACCTGCCTCATTCACATCACAAAAGAAACTGACTCCCAACTGAGATTATACCCACTCCTCACTAGCATGGTTCTCTGATCAAATAACCAGGTTACTGTATGAAAAAATTCCATTATGCAGAAATGGAGAATGATCATCTCAGACCACAAAATGGAGGATATCAATATCATAATGTAACTGCCAAATTACATCATTACATAACTGCCAAATTACATCATTACAAACTTCCAAACCACTGAGAATCATGTTCCAGTCAAGTTGACACAGAATCTTAGTTACTACAGTCACTGTTATTCCTGCCTAGCACCTCTGTGCTCATGACTCCCAGATATATGTCAATAATGTGCTAAAGTATCAAGTAGGTTTCTTACTATAGTCATAAATGCAAAATATTGGAAATAGGTGTGCAAAGTATAGTCAATAAGTACACAGTAAGTGCATGACCACAGGCATAGGGGTTAGATTCACACCACATAATCTCAGGGGACACAATTCATTTCCTAGCTGGTGGTTCCACATTGCCTTTCCCAGGTGTGATCTGTGAGTTTCTGTGTTGTCAATGTGAAACATGCTGCCGGCAGTCCAGGGCTGCTGATTGGTTTTCGACGACAGCCATGCAGACCAAGAAGATCCAGGCTTTAACATCTGCTGCTTGAAAACTTCAAACTTGGACCTTAAGTGTCATATCAATTTAATCAATTCTCTCTTTATCTCTCAGAAATGCATTCTCATAGGTTCACAGTGAGTCTGCATTCACTCAATGGCAATTGGTTGCTCATCTTTAAAACTGAGATAACAAATATTTTCTGGTAGCATTTTATGAGTCAGGTTGCTAACCAGGTCAGCAGTTGGAAACTACCAGCTGTTCCTCAGGAGAAAGATGAGGCTTTCTGCTCCCGTAAAGATTTACAGCCTTGGAAACCCTATACAGGGTCGCTATGAGTTGGAACCGACTCCGCGGCACATAACCACCACCAACAAAGATTTACAGCCTCGGAAACCCTGTACAGTACCAACTCCATGGCATAACAAACTAACCAAAGTACACTATAGGTTTGAAAGGTTTGTCATGAGGCCCAAATGAAATTCACCTCACTGTAGGAGTGAGTTGCTGCTTTGGGAAGACGCTGTACCACTTAGGTTGTGGAATGGGAGGGGAAAAAAATGCAAGAATGACTGCAACAATGTGTTGTTGCAGCTGCTACTGCTCCTTTGTTGCATGCAGCCTGTAGATGAAGAAACTGACCACATGGTCATGTCATTTGGACTCAAAACCCTTAGCCTCTGCACCTATGCTTGGCTGAGATGGAGAGTCATTTTCTTATTTTTTGACATTGAGCTTATAGAAGGAGCCTAAATACCACCCCATTTTTACAATTCGGGAAACTGAAAGCTTGGAGAGGTTAAGTAACTTGCTCATGATCACACAGCTGGAAAGTGGTGGAGGTTGGATGCAAACCCAGGAAAAGGTTCCAGGATAACTCTCACGATTTGTTAAATAGTAAATCTCAGGCCCTTGCAGAAGCTCCTCACAAGAGTTTGCAAAGGCTTTTGAGCTCTTAAAGACATGACTTCAGATCTATCTGATGACCAGATTCCTAAGACCCTCGAATCAGACATCATTTGGTCTAGTGATGACTACTGTCCACTCATCTCCACAAAGCCCCTGCAACCACCTCCTGTTGTTGCTAAGTACCAGAGAGTCGGTTCCAACTCATAGCATCTCTGTACAGGATTTCTGAGGTGCGACTGGTAGGTTTGAACCACTGACCTTACCATTTAACAGTCCAGTGATTCTCCTGCAGCATCATACCAGGACCCCTTCCCACCTCCGGCAGGCTAATAACTTGCCTGGACCATGCTCATTGTCCATCCAGAACTTAGTGTATGGTCCTCACCCCTTCATGAACACTTTTCTCCCACCCTTATGGCCAGTGCAGCTGAAACACCTAAGGCCTTCCCTTGCTATGTCCACATTCTTAGACTCCCCAGTCACATAGGAGAGAACACACACAAGCCAACACCTATTTGTTGCCCAGTTCCTGCTTCTCACCTGTTGTTTCACAAGCTAGGTGAGATGAGAAGCCTCGTGAGGTGTGGGAACCTTGTATGGGCTCCTTCTCCTCCTCCCTGCAACCCCTTCATGCCACACCCAACTCAGCTTCTGCAGAGAAGGGCTCGCTGACCCTGTAAAGGTGCAGGTAGGGACGATAGCTTGTCCTGCTTCATCAGACCCAGGGTCCCTTTCCAGACAACCATCCAGGAACTTGGCCACTGCTCACCCAAATCATAAATCCGAAACCAGTCATTCTGCTGTTTCATTTCATTTTTGCTTTTATTTTTCTAAAATGCCATTCTCATTGTACTATCAAATGGGGTCAAATAATTTAACTATCGCCTGAGATCACTTTCAGGCTTTATACTGTTTGACATCCTGTTCCTTTCAAGTAACTGAAGGCTTTGGAATTGTTGGGGTTTTTTTGTTTTGTTTTGTTTTAGGAATGCCAAGTCCCCACTTAAAAGTGGACCAGACCGCAGTGCATAATAAGAACGAGGGCTCAATGTCCACCATGATGACCAGGAAGAAGCCAGCCACAGTTGACAGTGTTGTGATTCCACCAAACCCAGTGTTATCTCTCTTGGCCGCATCTGCAGCAACTTCAGACGCAGGTAAGCCTTTTCAAATACTTTGGGTTCTCCCATACTGAAGATGGGTGTGGAGACTTCCCATTGAGAAGATTCTACCAAGTACAGGTAAGAGTTCTGTGGTGAGCTCACCTTCCATAGACATTGACCTTTTGTTGTTAGTTGCCATCGAACTGTATTTCTCTCATGGTGATCTTCTGTAGAACAGAACAAACAGTTGCCTGGCTCTGTGTCACGCTTAGGATCACTGCTACGTTTAAATCCATTGCTGTGGCCTTTGTGTGCGTCTGAACTTGTGAGCTCTGTCCACTCTGCTCTTCAAGGTGGGTGGAGGCCTGAGGGAGGGAAGAGTGTGTCTGGGATCCTGATAGCAAAGGGATTTTGATTACTCTTTAGAGCTCATCCTAATACTGATCCAGTGAATGACAACTGAGCAATCACTGTGCTGATTACCTTTTACCTAGTCTTGCCAACTACGACCTCTGCATAAGGAACCTCATATGTACAATCTCATAGAACTCTTAATCAGAACTCTGTGCACTCAATACATTTTCTGAAGAGAAAGCTAACTGTTAAGAATACTGACTCAGGATTCTGTGGGCAGTGAACTCCAAAGCCAGTGTTCCAAACCACTATGATCCACTACCTTCCTTGCTCACCAGACTTAGAAGACAGCAATCTCTGCGTTTCTCTGAAGACGTTTCATTACCTCACCTCCAAGGTTCCATAAAAGAATAAATAGTCTCCAGACTCTGTTCAGGTAGCCAACAAAATATATTCTCCTTATTTAGATCCTCCAGGTTGACTCTTTCCACCTCTGTCTTCCTCTACTCCCCACAACCCTACTTGACACTAATTTAGCCAAGTTCATCTATGGCACCAGGAAGACAGGCCTTGGACTTGACTTAATAATACTTGTTCTTGGCAACAGTCATATTCAATTCTGATTCACATACTGTCTCAGTCCGTCTCAACTCCTCTGAGCTTCTACACTTTCCAGATCACGTGCTAATAAGTTGCATTGAGAAATGTCTTCTCTCTAACATCTTCTCCCTTATAACAAAACTGCATCTCAAAGGAAGAGTCCATGGCCTAGTTACTTGTTTCCTTCACAGCACATAGAATGATGGTACGTTCCTTAAACATTGATTGAATTAACACATTAGTAAATGTTAAGCATATTGCAAAGTGCCTGTTAAGGAGTCTTGGTGTGGCACTGTGGGTTAATGCACCACACTGCAAAGCTGTTGAAACTGCAAGGTTGGTGGTTTGAGCTCACCAGTTGCTCCTTGGAAACCCTATACGCTATGGGTTAGAATCGACTCGACGGCACTTAACAACAACAACATTAAGGAGCTCTGGTAGCATAGTGGTTACGAGTCAGGCTGCCAACAACCTCAAGGTCAGCAGTTCGAAACTATCAGCGGTTCCACGGAAGAAAGATGAGGTGTTCTGCTCCCATAAAGATTTATAGCCTCGGAAACCCTGTATAGGGTCATATGAGTCAGAACCAACTCCACAGTACTTAACAACAACAAGAACAACAAAATTATTATGGGGAGTTATAAGCTGTGCTGCTCATTGTAAGGTCAGCAGTTCAAATCTACCAGTTGCTCCTTAGTGTAAAGATGAAGCTTTCTGCTCCAGTAAAGATTTGCAGCCTCAGAAAATCCTGTACAGGGTTGGTATTAGTCAGAACCGACTCAATGGTACCCAACCACTGCCACCAATTATGATTGGGAGCCCAAGAAAAGACTCATAATTGATATTCAGTCCAAAATCATATTCTCAATCAATGGGTTCTTCTGAGCAGAGAACTAAGTCTGCCTATTTACCAGCCTCCATCATGGAATTTACTGGCAATCAGAAAGTTGAACCCCATTGGAATAACAGAAAGAAATCATTTGAATGACCCTTCTCAAATTGGTTTCAAGACAATATTAATAGATGTTTTGTGGGGGAAATGTTTTTGTAGTTATGTGGAGAGATGTTGCTTCACTTGATTCTTTCCCAAGGACTTTTTCAGAGGCTTTAATGGACTGATGTGCGTTGTGAGGCTTCAAGAGAGGAAGAGGTATAATTTCATAATCTTCTTTGACCCTAAAACCATTGTTCTAGGACTGTCTCCTAATGGCTCAGAGAAGTAATGTTCCCTCTGGTATTTAGGGAAATCTTGCTTTGAGGGAATGGATTCATCCTTCAAATTTGATAATGATAACTTTCTCGTAGCAGGTATGAACTAATTTTGATGGAAATGTCAGGTAAAAGAGAACCAGCAAAAAAGACTCGAAGGGAAGTCACAAAAGTCAGTGGAAGGCGTTTCCCTCAAAGGGTAGTGTGGTGGCCTCTTTATGGAAGGGCATTCCAGGCAGTGGAGGCCATGTAGCAGAGACCTGGAATGGGACTCTGGAAAGACATCATTTGGCTGGAGTGAAAGAGTCAGGTCATGATGCACACGACGCAACCAGATTATTGCTTATTCGACCTTGTAGGTTAAGCAGTGGAGACCTCCCTTTATGCATTCAGAAATTAGCCTGTGTGTTTGTGCCTTTGGTTGCCAAGCACCGATATTTCCCAGGAACAAAAGACAGGTGGTCCCCAATACTCCTTCCTTGCAGTTTTTCCATTCAGAGTAAGAGAACACGTTCTTGGGATCACGTGCTTGTATGGGCTTCCCTCCTGTATTGCATTCAGTAAATAATTTACAAATATGCTCACTGGGCGGGAGAACAGGTGGGTATTAAACTTTTAAACCAGTCTCTCTGGTAATCAGAGCTGAGCCAAAACTCTTCTGTTTCAGGATGCAGGAATGGGCTGTTTGCTTTTTGGCAGTACGAAGTGAGACCCTCACGAGAATTTCACAGCTTTGGTCCATTTCCGGGTCTCAGGCTGCTAAACAAAACTTTCAGTGAAAAAGCAGACCAGCAATCTACCCCAGGTGCTGGAAGCCAAACCTTCCTGAGGGTCCACTCCCCACAGATAAACAGCTTCCCACAAGTCTGTTCGGAAATTCAGAACTCACACACTGGGCTTATGTCCAATACTCATTTGTCATGTGAAGAAACCGATGCCTCCTGAGTTCATTCAATTGGATCGGAATCCAAATTTCCTGATTGACTACCTTATTTCCTGTGGAATTTCACTTCCGAGACCAATCTTAGCAAAGGCAGATTCTGTTTGCCCTAACAATGGATAATTACTTCTGATGGAGAACAGAGTACATGAAAGTTTTCATTTGATGGAGTGTGCATCTTGAACCAAAGTTGAGCACATGATTTTGTTGCTACTTGCCACTGATTGTTGCTACTTGCCTTGAGTGGACTTGACTCACAGTAACCTTACATATAATAGAATGAAACATTTTCCAGTCAGTACCATCTTCATGAAAGGAGCTCTGGTAGCGTAGTGCTTACAAACCGGGCTGCGAACCTTAAGGTCAGCGGTTTGAAACTACCAGCCGCTCCGCGGGAGAAAGATGAAGCTTTCTACTCCTGTAAAGATTTACACCCTCGGAAACCCTTTACAGGGTCGCTATGGGTCGGAACCGTCTCGACGGCTCTTAACAACAACAACCATCTTCATGATGGTTGGTATCTTTAAGTCCATCGTTGGACTCTGTCACTCCAGTATCATTGAGGCTCTTCCCATTTTTATTGGCCCTCTGCTAAATGTGAGCTCCTTTTCTAGCAATTGATCTTTCCTGATGACACCAAAGTTAGCGAGCCAAAGTCTCGCCGTTCTCATTCCTAAGAAGCATTCTGGTTCTGTGCCGTTGTTGTTGTTGTTGTTGTTGTTAAGTGGCATCAAGCCAATTCTGACTCATATCAATCCCGTCTAGGGTTTCCACGGAGTGAGGAAACCATAATGACACTCCTCTGGTTCTACAGTAGGGAGCTTCTAGATTTGATTTCATTTAATTGAGTGTGTGGTCAATAGTCACGTGTATAATTGATGGGATAACTCACTTGATTTTCTGTTTTCTTTGGAATTCTTTTCTTCATCTTCCACTATAAGGAAGGCAATTTACAATGACTCTGGCCAGATACAAAAATTGGTTTATTTTCCAGTAGGTCATCATTTCTACAGAATGGTTCTAGGATTCCAGACAACTGTAGAGGGAAACGAAAAATAAAGTGGTTTAAAAAACAAAGTTCATTTATGAAATCACTTTTTGAGATAAAAAGAAACTTAAATAACTCAATAAAAATTTATTTCATTTTTAAAAAAACAGTCCTGGTGTAGCACAGTAGGATAAGCACTGGACTGTTAACCGTATGGTTAGTAGTTCAAACTTACCAGGCACTCCACAGAAACCCTGTACAGGGTTGCTATGAGTTGAAATTGACTACATGACTCTAAATAACAACAACCAAGTCCCTAATCTAATTCCTGACACAGAGCAAAGTAGATGCTCAATAAATAATCAATGAGTAAAATGAATGTTTAAAAGGCAGTAATTGGGTGTGTTTACAGTTCTGAACATGGTAGGAGACATCTGAGCAAAACAAACGTAATCCTGGAACCACTTAACTAGTCAAATAGAAAACATTTGAGAAATGCATTAGAGGTTTTGGTAAACACTTGCCAAATAATTAACCAGGAGGTGCTGTGGGCAAAAGCCCTGGACCAAAAGGTCAATTTGAACCACATGGTCGGCGGTTCAAACTCACCAGCCACTCCTTGGAAACCTTATACAGGGTCACTATGGGTCAGAACCGACTCGACAGCCCTTAACAGCAACAACACAACTTTGTCAGATTCTAAAACTGAAGGGAAAAGTATCTACCTTGTTTTGTGAAATTGCAATATGGGAGAAACGAATGTAGATCAAAGGTTTTGAAATACGTCTTTTATATTTTGAGAGTATGTGTATGTGTGTGTCAACCCATCGCCATCAACTTGATTCTGAGTCCCAGCCACCCGATAAGACAGTAGAACTGACCCCATAGGATTTCCTTGGCAGAAACCTTGACAGGAGCCACAGGCATATCTTTCTCCCTCAGCGAGGGTGGTGGCTCACCCTA